CGGGGAAAACAATAGCCAACCAATCGACAAAACCTCTGACCTCACGGAACTTGCGTCTCTTGCGGGGGGGGGGGGGGTGTAAACATCAGGTACCCAAACGTCAGGTCACGTTGAGTGAAAGGGAGGGCAAGGGGTACCGCATGGAGGGGACGGGGTCTAAGTGGACACCTAGCCCTCCTGGGAACCCTGCTGCCATTTGGCCTGCACAGCTCCGTGGGTGTATGATGTCATATCCTGGTTGTGACATCATGCTGCAGCTATGCAGGATGTCATCATCGGAGGAAACCAGGCAGAAGGTACAGGGATCTTCCCAAATTATTCCTTACCAGTGCGTGCGCATCTACAGTGATCTCCAGATAAAACATTTCTTAAGAAGCCAAAAATTATCAACCCCCCCATAATAATAATAATAATAATAATAATAATAATAATAATAATAGCTCCCATCTATCAGGCGTATGGAGAGACTGCAGAGGCTGATCACCCTTCTGCCAGAACCCCTGGGTTCAAACATCAGCTCCACTCTGTGCCTTAGTATTTGCATCCGAAAAATGCGTCCAAAGTGGTCCCTACCTCCTTCGGTTGGTGCCCCACTTGTGCTGTTTGTTTCTTATTGTTATGACTCTGTGGAAGGTTCTGGAAGGCTCTGGGCTGGCCTTTCAGGAGCATGGGTCATCGCCTTACATAATCCCCCCACGGCCATACTTCAGAGGCAGGACTAGACCCATTTTACAGCCTGGGCGGGGCTCAGAGGGTGAGGGGGAGGCTCCTGGGCCCACAGAGAGGGGGGCCCAGCCCCTGGGCTCAGAGGCTGTGGGAGTTTGGCTGGGGCTGGGGGAGGGGGCCTGGCTCTGCAGAAACCACAGCCCCACCCCACCCCCCACCCACCCAGAGCAGCACTGCCGCACCCTGTCCTCTGAGCACCACTGCGATTTCGAGATGCCCACACTTGGTGGAGTGAGGGGCGGCGAGCTGCTCACGCTCGCAGAGGCTGGAGCTGGGTCAGAGCGCCGGAGGGTCTGCGGCACCAGCCAACGCTCCTGCTTGCTTCCCAGGCCTGCCCCACTTTCTGTCTCCAGCCCCGAGGTTGGTCTCGGCGAAGAGAGGTTTGGTGTTTCCAGAAAGGGTTCCTCTCTTCCCTGAGAACAAACAGACCCCAGCTTGTCACCATCCCAACGGGAGAAGAGACGGAGGAGGAAAGTGGCCGGGCGCTCCTGCCTCTGGAGGGTGGGGGCTCCGGGCGGGCGGCACATCTGCGGGACCACCCCATCTGAGCTCCGCTTCGGGGGGCAGCAGACAGAGGCCCTCAGAAGCAGGAGCACCCCACGGAGAGCAGCAGAGCTGGCTGGGCCGCTGTTTTGACGCCGTCTAAGAGGTTGTCTGAGGAAACAGTGACATCTTCCAGCTCCCCAGTACCAGCCTCTCTTGCCAGGACAGCCGACGGGGGGAGTCGAGTCCCCCGGGGTCCCACCCCAGCTCTGGCACGTACTATCTGTGTGCTGCCGGGAAGTCACCCGCACCTCACTTACCCCATCTGCAAAATGGGCACAAAAGGAACACCTGCCCCCCAGGGTTGTTGCCAGAGGGACATGGATGAGGCCGTGTGAAGCTCTCCAAGCAGTGCCTGGATTTCTAGAGGCTCTCTATATGTTAGCTCTCCTTAACGCGGCTTGCACTTTACAAGGAAGCAAGGGGGCCGACGGGACATCGGAATTACTTAGGACAGGTAACTGACACGTAGGCTCCCATTCATCAAGATTTGCATTTTTTTGCGGAAAATTTTAAGATTTTATGGTTTTTGTTTTGTCTTAAGCTACATTTACCAAGGAAGAGAAAAAGCCACGTGGGGACATGAGGGAGCTCTGTGAAAGTCCCATCCCGGGCTCAGAATCTCCTTGTTTTCCCAGTGTGGACGACGAGGCTCCGGCTGGGAGTGGGGTGCACACGTTAGCAAGGGGAGCCCTCACTTTCCTGCAGACCTGCCCAACAAGGGGGCAGAGCAGAAGCAAGCATCTGGGAAATGATCCTCCTGCTGCGCGTGTCTCTGCTTCACCCAAACGCACAGCCCGGGGTGCTCCAGGGATCCTTCTGGGTGCTGCAGCCCCTGTCCCCCCCCCCCCCCCCCCCCCCCCCCCGCACAGGGTGTCTCCGGAGTGCGAATTACAGAAGCCTCGCATAAGAAGTCTGCATCGGAAGGTTAGGGTCAGGGCAGTTGGTCCTGCGAGCTGGTAATAAGTACTAACGTCTCCCCAGTCTCCAGGGTGGCACCAGGCATCTGTACGGTCAAAGCTTTCTAGGGGACCCTAAGGGACAGTCACCAGGCAGGGGGTTAGGAGGCCTAGGGCGGGAGCAGCAGGAGACACACTCGGGCCAGCTGATCGAGAGGCCAAATGGTGAAGGGGAGGGTGATGCAGGGTCCATCCTGCCCCTCCCCCAGCCTCTCCTCTGGGCTCCAGCCCGGCTGCTAGCAGAGCCCCCCCTTCTCAACATTCATCCCTAACCCTACGGTGTTCTTCTCCCCTCCTGCCCAGCCCACCTGTCACCCCTTCCCTCAGTTCTCCTCCCCGTGTCCCAGGAAGGACACACACCCCCAGCCTTCTAGATCCTGCCTCTCCAGGCTTTCAGGCTCCCTTCACTGATGTTCAAGAGGTGTAGGGCTGCGGCAGCCATGCTGGGAAGGAAAGCTAGGCTTCCTAGTTGCTCTCATTGACCAACGGAGCAACACGTGAGGCTTTTCTAAAGCAGCATTGCTCCAACTCTGGCCTCAGTCCCCTGGGCCGCGGCCCGTCCACCCGGAGTTCAGACCACACTCTGAGCACCTCCCCGCCAACACATTTCCAGCTGTCCCGTCCCCTCTGGCCTGACGAGGGCCCAGAAAGCTCAGCATAGGCGTTGCTGTTGGGGGCTGCCTGCCGTCCTGCTGTGAGGCTCCGTGGCCATCGCCAGGGCCACCGTCCCCCCGGGCAGCATGCACGGGGGTCAGCAGTGTCTGCTAAGAAGGGGGCAGTGACACCTGTCCAGGAACGAAGGACAGCACCCAGGGCCACCACTCCGCAGTACCCTGTCTCAGCGGGGCTTTCGTTCCCATACTGTTGCCCAGGGTGGCTGCACAGGAAGGAATCAGGCCTTGCGCCTGAGCTGAAAAGCAAACTGTTCATCTGTCTACATTGGGGAAGGGAATAAAATTTCCCGAGCAAGCGCCCTGGGAGAGATTAGGTTTTACGAAGGGAATCTGCAGGGTCTTGCGTTGCCCGAGAGGACGTGTAACTACATTTCAGGCAGATAAATCAGATGCGCTGCAGGTGGTGGGTCCCGTGTCCGATCTGTGGGTCAGGTCAATTGGCAATGAAAACAATTAAGTGAATAAAAAGATCACTTTTAGGGTGAGGGAAGAAAGACATGTGATAACTCACCCACCCAAGCGCACACGTACACCGTGGCACGGGAGGGACTCGACCAGCTCTCCTAGCTCCGGCTCCAGGCTGGTTCCCGGACACCCGTTCCCACGGGCCAGGAAAGGTTAATGAGCCAGAGGGTGGTCGCTGAGACGTGCAAAGAATCTCCGCTCTGGGACAAGCCTCCGCACGTCACCAGCCCCCTCACTGCTTACAGCAGGAGAAAATGTGGCCCAGAAATGAAGACGCACCCGTGGCCCCACAGACAATGGGAACAGATGCCCCATCTGCCCCTCCCGACCCTCTGCCGAGACCCCAGGCCCGGGTCCGATTTGGCTCGCACACGCAGATGCGTGGCAACAGGGACGCGTACATCTCTAATGAGCGAGCAAATGTGGGGACGGGGTGGGATTTTATATCCAGTGATTTTTTTTTTTTCATTTGAATGTAGACACATGGCATCCTATAAATAAAATAGAAAATGTAAATATTGTAAAACCCATTAGAGAGTGGTTTTAGGTTTGGTGAGAGCAGGGTCAGCTGCTGCCCTACTGCACTGTGCTGGGAAAGCATCACCCCCACCCGCGGGTCTCCTCGGCTTGCCGCCCGTCACCCTTGTGACCCTTGTCACCCAGCCGGCCAGGCTGCGCTCCGCCTGATGAATAAACGTGACAACATGGGCCAGTTGTCTCCTGCTGCTTACGTTGCATTAACAGCGTTCAAGAGCTACCTAAAAACTTCCCTGCTTTCATTTTATTCCATGGGGGGAAAGGCTTTCCGAAGGAGCAGCACTTCTCTGTGGTAAGAGCGCAGATCCCACGCACACCAGTTAAGCCTCGAGACGCGCCCCCAGCCAGAGCTCCAGGACCACGTTTAAAACGCTCCTCAAAAGACATTTTCTGTTTGAGACATATTAAACAAGCTTTATTTAATAATGCTCGATTTGACTTATCCCGTTTAAATATTTGCTCCAATCAGCAACCATTTGATCCCAGCCTCGTTCCTGGCTGCAGACTAATTTCTCCAGGTTATTTTTCTTTGGTGCAGGGTTGATCCCAGAGGCAGAGAAATTGCTCTCGGGTTCCCTCCTTTTCTCTACTCCGCGCTGTGGGGAAAAAGGAATAGAGCCATAAAAAGCCTGAACTGGAGGCCGCTTTTATAAAGTTTATATTGCCTGTCCTCCCATCTGTCTGGTGGAAGGCAGAAAACGTCATTTAAAAGACTCTCCTAATCAGATAATTATAAGGAGAAATTTCTCCTTTTTAAGGACAGCATCAGAATATAAAAAAGTTCCCAAAGACGCGATCCTTTTGAGGCGTATTCTGCCATCTGCCTTCCCCCATTCAGGGATTTTTGTAACAACTGCTTACACCAAATGCATGGTCACCCAGTAGGCGTGGAAGATTCTAGGACAGCACGGAGAAGAAGAGTCATTTAATATCTTAATTCACTGTGTTTTCAAGGAGGGAATGACACTTTGATTTCTACCAACTTTGGGGACGCTCCCTATAGATCTTTTGGTTATCGTTACAGCTATTGTGAAGATTTTACTCTCAATGCTTAAAAAAATAAAGCCTATTCTTTTCTTTTCCTTTTTCTTTTTAGGTTTTCTCTTTGCACGGCGCCTTCGAAAACAGCCACCTTGAAGCCAGTGGCCGCGGTCGCCTCTCTAGGTCTCACGAAGCCATTCACGACACAGGCCTTTGACAGCTACTCGGGATACCAGCCCAGGGTAAGCGGGACAGCGCTGAGGGCAGTCCGTTATCTGAGTGGCCTCGTCGAAGGGGCTCTGCTCCCAGCCGGGGAGGGGTCTTTCTCCGTGAGAGGGGCGTTTATGATGGCGGGCCAGCGCCCGGTTTATGGACCCCGGCCGGGTGGGAGGGTGCTGCCCCGCCAGCCTGCAGCCTGCGCCGGCCTGAAGTGTTTACCGCTGTGGTGATTTACACCGTCCAGGTGTTCATTTGGGAAACATCTCGGCTCCAAGCTGACACGGTGATTGCCTGGGATTTGCAGACTTAGGCATTTTTTTCTGTTCCTAACAGTCCAGGACCCAGAGAGATGGTTAAAAAAAAAAAAAAAGGTACTGGCCCAAAGTGGTTCGTGTGCTGTGATTTTCACAGTGCCCCGCGTCCTGCCCCATGCAGAAAATCACAGGCACCAAGTCTGCCCTTCATCAGACTGACCCCTTCTGTCGGCTTGGCTCGCTCTTCAGGCTTTCAGTAGCTGCATAGATGCCGCTCCAGGCTTCCCCTCTGCTCCGTTAGCACGCTGGTGCTTTCCAAAGGGCCCCCAAGGCAGGGCTTTCCTTGGGTGAGACTCGGGGTCCTCAGGTATGGCAGACACGTCCTGGAGAGGGAGTCTGGGGTTGGTGGGGATTTGTTCTCCGTGGACCAGCCTCTGCTGGGGGCTGACACTTAGACAGACCCACTCGACAGAAGCTTCTCACACACCAGGACCGCTTGCCTTTATTCTCGCTCACGTTCTTCACTGCAGGTGGTATTGTTGCTGTTTGTCACTGGTTTGTGCTGGGAGTTCCTAACACCTATCCTGGGCAGCCTTGTGTCCCCTGAACACTGAATTAAAACATGCCCCAGGAAATCAAAATGGTTTTTTCATTTGCCAAAAAACACATATTTTAAATTGTGTTTAATCATATCCGTCCCATCCCCATTTGAAGGAGCTTGGACATTTCTTACATACCCATTTTTACACTTATACTGATCTTTTCTCCAGCCACTTTTGATAACTCTGATGAGAAAGAAATAACTATACTTTTGCCTCATAGAATATTCTATCTATCTATCTATCTATCTATATACATCAGAGTGAGGGTAGGTGAGGACACTGGTTAGGAAATTGAGAATGATTCTTTATCTATGTTTTAGTTTTTGCAAATACCTTTTTTACCCATCCAGAGACTATTGGGCTGCTTTTAAGAGTTCATTTCAATTTAGCTATTTCTCTCTCTTTGACAAAATGTCTCCAAAAACCATCGTTTGCCTCCTCTCACAATCTGCAGACATAGAGCATTTGGTCAAACACAGGCGGGTAAAGAGTAAGGACCATCAGACCCAGGTTTAGCAAATGATATAACTCCTTCCGAGTCCTACGTTTAAAACAGTCTTTTCGGCCAGTGCTTTGAATACTAACAAATTCACTAAAAAAGCATTCAAACCTCCCCTGTTTGTGCTCCTTTCTCCCGGTTTATGAATACATAAACCTCCCACCATAGAAAAACATCACTGACTTGCCACACTTAAACAGGGACACGTTTTCACCAGCAATGCGACCGTTTGAAATTATCAGCCCCGGGGCAAGACAAAAATTCCAGCAATAAAACAAAAACCTTGATTTCTAAACATCAGGCTGAAGTCCTTTCAAGTGATCATGGACTCTCGGGGAAAATCGTTTTTCTCTGTTCCCGTTCCCAGCCTAATATCGAGAAGCACCATGGAAAATATGCTGCTGATTCAAAGAAAAAGATTTGACCTTTAAAAGGACTACTTTTGCCTTTTCTGTAGATTTCCTGACTGTATGCATTTGTAAACCTCTATTCTGAATCTGAGTGGGAAGCCTCCACAGACACATGAAAATACATGTGACCACGGTCTATTTTAAAGAATGGCCTGAGAGGGTTTAATTTTCAGACGCAGGACACAACACCCACACCACTGTGAGCACAATTTCACTGAACTCCTGGATTCATTTATTTTAACCTCTGCTAGAGCTGCCTCAGAAAAGCAGGTGACTATTGGAAGATTTTTGTTTTTCATTCTAAATAACAAGAGGGATAAAATGAATGTCATCCTATGGAGTCTGAACATTAAAATGTAAGAGGGAGTTCGCCAGGATCTGGTAAATGGCTAAACAGATTAGTAGCCTTACTTTTTAACATATAAACATCTGAAACCCGTTTCCTGTTTAAGAAGAAGAAGAAAAAAAAAAGTCTAGGTGGATGACCTCGGGCACTTTTTTTGATTAACAAATGTGAATTGTACATCATGGTGGAAAAAAAAAATGGCGCACGCTTGGTGGTCTTTCTACAGTCTGTATATGGGAGAGAGAGAAAAAAATACAAAAATAAACGTTACCTTCTCACTTCCAGGGTGGGCAATGCCATTTCTAGAGCGGCGTCCAGGGCTCTGGCAAATGTTAAGGCTGTCACCGCGGACAGAATCCCCATGGTCTGTGTGCCTCGATAGAGTCCGAAGAAAAACATTCCCTGCATTCCTGCTGGCTGGCCCTATCTCCAGGCCCCGGGCTCGGCCCTACAGACCCGTGTCACCCCGTCAAGCGGCGTAGGACACGGCTAATCTAAACCCACGCCTTCCCCCGTCGGCCCGGCAGCTGGGCGAAAACCGGGGCCGATGTGCTGCCTATACCCCACACGCAAAGTCGATTCTCTCCTTTCAGGATGAAGCACCAGCTGCAGTTTGTTCAGCCGGGAAGGGCTTAGAGGTTCTGGCACATTCTGACAAGATAGATTTTATAGGGTTTGTGCTAAAATTTGATATTGGAAGTTGGGATTCCAATTCCATGTCTCAAATGATAACAATAACAGCTGGGACCTTTAAGAAATGTGTGTATTCCTTCCATTTAAGAATTACATAATAAAAGCTATTTATGTCAAACACCTTATAAGGGAAAGATTTAGCCCTGATGTCAATATAGCATATAATACTTTGTATATTCAGATAGGAAAAAAAAAAAATCCATATCAGCGCCAAATATTATTCTTGGTTTGGACTATCAGATATGTGGGGACTTTAAAAATTTAAAGAAAGCATCTCCTTGCTTTAATTTACAAATTCACTGCATGGCACTTTTTTTGGGGGGGGTGGATATTATTTCTATTTTTAAAAAACCAAGTGCTGATGAATCATGATTTGTTTTTTCACGTCCTTCTGGTGGAAAGACACAAAAGAATTGCACGACTTGTTGTTGTTTGATGTGATTTTTACGATCTGCACGCCCGCCATGCGAGCGCTCGCCGGGCCCCCATGCGCTGATGCTTCCCTTGTTGCCTGAGAGCGGCCACGGCTTTGGGGAGTCCCTGCGGCCAGAACTTGTGCAATTCTGACGAGCGAACAGGTCAGCCGCTCAGGATGAAAATGTCTCTGGGTGAAGGAGCCAGACGTGGCAGCTCGAGGCAGCCTCCGCCGGTAGACCCCAGGGGGGCTCAGGATGGCCTCCCGCTTCCCAGCAACAGCGACCACGGCCGCGACCGCTCCCACTGCCGAACCGACAGGACTGCCGCAGATGCCGGCCGCTCGGCAATGACCACGTGGCCCTGCCAGGCGGGCTTGTTAGGAAGAGCCCAGCTTCCTCCTTATCTTGTCTGCTCAGACAAAGAGCAGAACCTAATCGAGAGGAGAAGAGAACCCCAATTAGCAAAGCCCAGAGACTTCCCCCCCGCCCCGCACCCACTTGCGGGGGTTCAGCTCCGCCCTCGCTTCTCTCCGGCTTATCGGGCCGTGTGACCGGGTTAATGAGAAGAGCCCAGCTGGGTGGTGGCAGGAACGGTCATCCGGACAGAGGCCACGGGGACAAACGCAAACACGGCTCCTCGGGCCCTGCTGGAACCCGCGGACGCCGACTGAAACCCAGCAAAACACACGCTTCGTTTCTCCCCTTCTCAGGTCCCAGCCTGAATGGAAGCGCTCCCGAGCAAACACGACTTGGAAAAGTGACTTCTCCTGAAGCCTCTCCCTTCCCTTCCCTTCCCTGTCAGAAAGTTGCAGGCTGGGGAAGGCAGCTTCCTTTCTGCCTCCTTCCCAGCCAGCCCCTCTGCGTGCCCTCCCTGGTCTTCCCGTGAACAGCAGTGCAGAAGCCGGCGGGCACGCGCAGCCGGCCACTGGCCGACCGTCCAGAGAACCAGGCGCCAGGCAGGGCCTGGGCAGGGCGCCCCAGCACGGCGGGCATGCTCGAGGACGGACGTGCCCGTGCAGAGGTTTCGGGAAACGCGCTCTCTTGCAACAGCGGCTTTGTCCAGACTGTCTCCCCTGTCCCCAGTGACACCCATGTTCGCGATCATCACCTCCAACACAAGGAAACAGCGGGAAAGGGAGAGGCAGCCGCAGGCACAAGGGAAGCTGCTCGGTCCCCAGTGATAACCACGCGGCTAACCGCCGGCCTCATGGAAGCGACACTGGATGCGCCTTGCCCTGCTGCAGACGCTCACAGGAAAGGCTCATCCGACCCCCACGACCACCCAGGAGGTAGATTCTCATTGCCTTCATTTTGTGGAGGCAGAGAGAGGTCAGCCTCTGAAGACCAGATGGGGGGACAGTGGCAAAGTCACAGGGTCAGGAGCCAAAGCCATGCCGTCTTCCAGCAGAGCTGGGATGCAGCCTCGGTGCTGTGCTATCAGGGGTAAAGCCCAGGTCACACTGCCGGGGGTCGAGCCCTAGGCCATCTGCCGGGCACGTCACTTGATCCTCTTGAGCCTCCGAATGCTCACCTGCAAAGTGGGGTGGTAATGGTCCCACCTCACAGAGTCGTTGCGGATTGCATAAAATAGGGCAGGAAAAGTGCACCTCATGTCCACAGTGCTCAGCCCCACGAACAAGCCGCCCCTCCACTCACAGAGTGGGTCACAGACTGCAAGGCTGACTTCAGGAATCCACCTGGGAATCGGGCCATGGTCTCAAACACGGGATAGCAAAGCTGTTTGGGGCGTAGAGTGTGGTACCCCATGTCTGCCCCCGGAAGCCCCAGCTGGCGGCGGATGGC